TTTAAAGTTTCTGTTGCATTGTCTTTATGTGCATAAGTTCCCATCTTTCTATATTTTGATAAAGAGAAAAAAAATGAAATTGCAGATGTGTTTTCCTTACTGTTGTTGGACTCAAGCTCCTTTCATCATCTGAACACCTAGAAATAAACAGAAACACCACAAAAGTAAATATGTAGGAAAAGAGCTTGTGTTAGGTAAAGATAATGTTACATTGGTAGTTCCTTAATTCAAGCTGTGTAAAAATGTGCTTTACGTTATATATATTGTTTATTAATGGTAACATAGAATTGATTCGGTAAAGACCTCTGTCTTTATCTGGTATTGAGTTATTTCTTTTACAAGGCCTGTCTAGTAATGTTGGTGTCTCATTTTCCATGTAATCAGACCTGTCTGTCATGAAGTGTTCAAGCCCCCCTCCTCCGGTCCGTGTTCCCCGCTGTAACCTGAGCTGTCTATTGATGAAGGTAGGGCTGCCTTTTTTTTTATGGGGGGGAGGGGACTCGGCACTCCCGGAGGGGGCTCTGTTTACCGCCGCTCGCGCAGACCCGTCTCCCCTTTATCCCCGGGCGAACCCCACGTTTCTTCGCTTTCCCCTCCCGGTGCCTGGCCCGCGCTTGCTGGGGCACCAGCCAGGTTGTTTTCAATCTTTGGGCTGCGCCTCTGTGCCCCCGGCCTCCCCTCCCGCCCCTGGACAGCCTTCCCTTCCCGCTCGGGCTCCGGGCCAGGGTTTGGGGCTCCCTCCGCCGCGTTCCCTTTCACCAGGATTTGTTTTCCTCCCAGTGGGGGGACCAGCCCTCTTGAGGCGGGAGCTCATGGGGGGGCGGGGGATTGAAGTAGCAGTTTCCCCTGGAGTTAAACGGTAAGGCACTGGCCTCCGAACCCGTTTCCAGGCGCTCACCCTGGACACGAGTGGGGCCTTTCTTGGGGTTGGACTTCCGGGACTGCGGGCCGCAGGGATCGGCTGCTTTCTCAAGTGGCTGCTGTTTGCTAGGACCTGCTCTTTGCTTTTCCAGACACAACAGCTGGGAGCCGGAGGAGAACATCCTGGACCCGCGGCTGCTGCTGGCCTTCCAGAAGAAGTGA